CAAGACATGCGCCATGTGGTGTAGATTTTAAAGGCCATAGAAACGTGATGCCTAGTGCACCGCGCGAATTATGTCACATGTATTGTGTTAAAGAGGGTAATAGCTAGTGGTGAAATAATCAACAGAGAGCGTCAATAATCATAAGGTTGTTAGAGTCAATAATCATCGGGCAGTTAGGGGTCGTCCATAAATGACGTCACACTCGTAGAGGTGAGGGAGTAATTTTGTGACGGTGTGTGATGAGGGTGATTGGGGGGGGGGGGGGGTGTTCAGATAGTGTGACGTCACTAAAAAAAAGCAATGTTAGAAAACGAATTTTAGCCGTTATTTCGCGTTTTAGAAAATTGTTTTAATAAATTGTAGTAGAAATTGATTAAATACTCTATGTTGACGGAGTTCAGAAAAAAAAAAAAATATAGAAAATTTTAGAAAGATTCATTTTAGGGGGGGGGGGGGGGGGTCTGGCTTTTTGTGACGATGTGTGGACGGAGAGGGAGGGGGAGGTAAAAATCGTCCAAAAAAGCGTTACGTTTTTGATGGATGACCTCTTAGTGGAGTGTAATAATCTTCAAACAGATGAATATAAATAATCATTAGTCAATTAGAAGATTATCAATGATCATTAGTTAATTAGAAGAGTGTCAATGATCATCAGTCAATTAGAAGAGTGTCAATTATTTAAGCACAAACTGAGAAAACTGACCTCAACCTACATTTTTTGCAACTTTCACATCAACATGTCAAATGTTGCAATTTTCCCAAATAATTGGTCAAAAGTTGCAAGTTTTACATTATCAGGTTCATTAAATGCTAAAACATAAATTACCAATCGTAAATCTTTCTCCCACTTTTGATGAAACTCTAATTTAAAATACACCATTAATAATACATATAGTTTAATTAAGTGTTGTGACAGAAAATACTCCCCCCCCCTCCCCCAGCCCCACCAAACATAGGCTGTGAAAATTTGAGTTCAAACATTTCATCCGATAGGAGTATTCCATGTTTATGATTAGATCATCCTTAGCAAACAAAACAAGCAATTGTTTTGGGTCTTGAAATTATCAAAACACAAGATGGCGAGCATGGTATAGGTCATGGCATTCTCAGTACTGGAACCCAGATCGCCTGGAACTGTAGTCATGCGGTTACCCCACGACCACACCGACGGCACCAACAAAATCTATGGCCCACACAGAGTACAGTCAGCGTTCAGTCACGGCTTTAAAAGCCGCTCCGGCTAACCGGACCCGGCTTTCATGGAGATGACACTTCCCCTGATGAGGTCTTGGTGGTGTTTTTTATGGCGGTTCTCCCTTCAACAACTCCCCTCATTTGTTGGTCACACCCCCCCCCCCCCCCCTTACACACACACACACACTCTTGACGGAGAAGACATCCGGCCCTCCGGCTACACTCCGGCTAAGCTTTTTCTGATTACCGGCGACGTTTTTTCAAGTCTCGCGTCTTCTCGCGAGAACAGTATGATTAACTGCTGGTGTAATGACCTGTCTAGTGGCGGCCTAAACCTATCATAACCTAAACGTGATCAGCGATAAAACAATATTAGGTACGGCCGGCAGGGGGCGGGAAATCGCGTTAGTTGGGGGGGTGAGGATGGGTGGTTTAGGGGTGAGGGATTGGTGGTCGTGGGGGCTGGGTGGTCGACGGATGGGGGGTGGATGGTCGAGGGGTGGGGGGGTGTTTAGTCGACGGGTGGGGGTGGGTGGTCGAGGGGTGGGGGTGGGTGGTTGTTGGGTGAGGGCTGGGTGGTCGACGGGTGGGGGTGGGTGGTCGAGGGGTGGGGGTGGGTGGTCAAGGGGTGGGTTGTCGAGGAGTGGGGGGGGGGTATTTTATCAAATTCCTGCTTGGTACAGTAATCTGAGGGAAAAGATGTTAGGACCTGACTGAAACAAAAAGTCTCGGGTCACAGTTTACTGGAGTTCCTTCCATGTTACATATTTCAAATATCACTATCGTAAATCTAATCTTGAGCTCTATTCTTAATCCAATTCTTAATCCATACCTTAGTAGTAGCAGTGTCAAGGTAATTTGATTAGTTTTAATGCACTTCTGTATTGCAATACTAGAGTTCTTTCAATGATCTTTCCAGTAGCCTTTCTAATGATCTTTTAATATGATTTTATTTAAAAATACCAGAGATTTTTTCTGTTTTTAAAAACAAATTTCTGCCACTCTTTGATTGACGCTGTGTGTAAACTGCATGACCGTGGATGTAGCAGTCAATAATGAGTGAGATTTAGAATACAAGTTCCGGGCTTGTGTCTGTACGACCACTCTGAGTTTACTCGGCTCTAATGAGTACCTGACATAAAGTTGGGCAAACTAAAGAAACCTGGGCAGTCAGACAATATATATATATATATATATATATATATATATATATATATATATATATATATATATATATATATATATATATATATATATATATATGTAGATTACATTACTTAATTTGTTTAGTTAATACACGCATAGACTGCGTATATATTTGTGCATAGCTGAGTTATACTACACTTATACATACACCGCACACATAAAAGCTTATTCATGTGTAATCTGTATAACACGTTTACATTATTGAGCACATATGGCGACTAAAGTGTGCCCCCCCTCCCTCTTGCCCTTTCTCTTCCCCCTCCCCCTCCCCCCCCCCCCCTCACTGTCACCCTCTCACGGTAAATACGGCACATATTTGCTCATACCCAGAGCCGTTTATTGAAGGAATACTCCCCGGGGGTATGGAGGCCGACCCTCGACCACGGGCCAACGATTTTCAATAAACAGCATTAAATCGAGGACTACGTGTCTTTGGTTTTAGGTAATCAGAAAATCAGGTGGGTCAGATTGGTAAATAATTTTTTCATTGAACTGTCTTAGTGGGGAGTTGGGAGGTAAAGAAAAAAAAAAAAAAAATTCCGAAAAAATATTTGAACAAAATTTCTGCTACATATGTGATGATAAAATGCGGTTTTGTATGGGTTTGTTTGACGTGTTAGGCTTATTAAATGTTATCTATGAACTCGTGTTCACTCGTGTAATTATTGTAGAGTAATGTCGTATGGTTTAATACTTAGCATATATTTGTACGTTATCTATGTTTAGTTTTGTACGCTAGAATCTTTGACATTAAGGTGCAGAGTATGTTCCACGCATCTCTTCGAGGGGGGGGGGGGGTGGTGGCTACTGACCTCCGAAGAAAGTCTACCGCCATCCCCCCCCCCCCCTAACGAAATAGAATTTATAAGGAAAACATATTTTGTATCAGTGTCTGCCCCCCCCCCCCGGATAATGTAGTCCACCCCCTCCCCAAAAATATCCAGCGCCCCCCCCCCCTAGGATATAAAACTTGTTCAAGGTTCACTAAGACATTGGAAAGAAATGTGGTACACATCCTTGCTTGTGTTTACGTTAGGCAGTGATTGATTAATGATTGATAAGTGACTGATTAGTGATTGATAAGTGTCTGATTAGTAATTGATGAGAAATTGATTAGAGAGTTAAATTTGTATATCACCTCATCGTGTAAATTATTTACAATATTTACTTTCTCGTATATACGTAGTATAGAGAAAGTATTGTAATCGTGCAAAAAAAAAATCGAGATTTTTACAAATCTCGACGTTTTACACCTCACTGATACGGAAAAACATAATTTTGCAATCTTGTCCGTATGTCTGTGTGTGTGTGTGTGTCTGTGTGTGTGTCTGTCCGTGTGTAAACACGATAACTTGAGTACCGTTACAGCTAGGTTGATGAAATTTCATATATAAGTATTTTATCAAAATCGTAGATCCGTATCAACTTTTGAGCGATTTCCGATAACCGGAAGTGGTACTTTTCCTACTTTGAATTTTTCAAAAGCCTATAACTTGAGTACTATTTCAGATAGATAATGAAATTTCACATGTAAGTAAAAGATCTAATTCTCTACCTTCTGTTAAATTTTGAGTAATTTCCGTTGACTGGAAGTAGTAATTTACGCTACTTCCGATTTCTCAAAAAACTAATGTAAATTTTTAAAGTACTAATAATATTGTACGCGTTTTTATTCGGCGTTTGCTAGGTGCGCAATCTTTTTTTATGAGATTCTATTCTATTTTTAAAAGTTTAAGTATTTAAAATGGATTAAAAATCATAACTATATCCCCAGTTACCATCCCCTGTTGTTTTATATAAGAATATTCGAGAATATTCGAGAAAGTTTAGGGGAGATCACTACCGGTTTATTTTATAATGTAAACTATTTACAACAAAAAAAACTTCTATTATTTTAAACTTTTTACAACCAAACTCATCCCATAGTTGTGAAAACATTATTTCATCACGTCCGACATATCAAACAATGTGTATGTATAGGATGTTTTGATTAGATGAAAGTGTTCTACAGTGGGAGGTCGACCAGCAAAAGTACAGTCTGAGATTTAAAACAACAACAACTATCGCTAATTTTTCCAGACATCCCAAACAATTTTAAATTAAAAAGAAAAACCAACAAGAAAATAGAATCAATTTTCGAACTCCCTCTGAGACATGACTAAAACTGTTATTTTGTTTTAAAGTATAAGCATTCATATTTAATTCTCTATTATCGAACAAATCATCCCTTTATATTTTTTTCATGATTAGGCTTCATTCAACTTTTCTGGTATATGAGGGCGTAGGGACTTAAGTCAGTGTATTTTTATGTCTGCTTCTGTTCCGCCTTGCTTATCAATAATACTTAAATTAATGACCATTAAGATATGATTCTCTCCCCTTAGAGTAATGACCATTAAGATATGATTCTCTCCCCTTACATTAATGACCATTAAGATATGATTATCTCCCCTTACATTAATTACCATTAAGATATGATTCTCTCCCCTTACATTAATGACCATTAAGACATGATTCTCTCCCTTGCAGTGATGACCATTAAGAAAGTATCCTCTCCCCTTACATTAATGACCATTAAGATCTGATTCTCTCCCTTGCAGTGATGACCATTCAGGCGGATCCGAACGAATATCGCCTAGTACGCGACCTGATGAAGGGCTACGACAAGAGGATACGCCCGTCCCTCAACCACTCAGATTCCCTCAACTTGACATTTGGCTTCGCCCTCGTGCAGATCATTGATGTGGTCAGTGACATTTGTGTCCATGTCATCTGGTGTATGTGTGTCGTCTGTTTTGTGTCGTCTGTTTTGTGTCATTTTTTTGTGTCCTCTGTTTTGCGTCATCTTTTGTCATTTGTTTTGTGTCATCTGTTTTGTATCATTTGCTTTGTGTCATCTGTTTTGAATAATTTATTTTGTGTCATCTATTTTGCGTCATCTTTTGTCATGTCATTTGTTTTGTGTCATCTATTTTGTATCGTGTTTTTTGTGTCATCTATTTTGTATCATCTGTTTTGTGTCATCTGTTTTGTGTCATCTGTTTTGTGTCATCTGTTTTGTGTCATCTGTTTTGTGTCATCTGTTTTGTGTCATCTGTTTTGTGTCATCTGTTTTGTGTCATCTGTTTTGTATCATTTTTTTGTGTCATCTATTTTGTGACATTTGGGTGAATAGTTTTTCTGTATCAAAATCTGTGTGTCCTCTATGTGTGTCCTCTATTTGTGTCCTCTATGTGTGTCCTGTATGTGTGTTTTCTATGTGTGTCGTCTGTGTGTGTCGTCTATGTGTGTCGTCTGTGTGTGTCGTCTCGACTAAATGTTAAATCTCTTCCACCTGATTGTGTCCTGTTTTGGTGCCATTTACCTATGTATTTTCCACAACCAGTTTAAACTACCGCAGATTTTCTTTCTGATGTAAGGTTAGCTACACACTTCCACAAGTTACACATTAATTAGGTAGAGAGCTAGACTGTTAACCCGACTGTCTCGAGTTCGAATCCGAGTTTGAATAAGTGGAACGTCCCTGAGTCCACCCAGCTCTGATGGGTATCTAACTTACGTTAGGGAAACAAAGTCGGCTGGGCATAGTGCTGACCACACTATCCCTTCATATGCCGAGGTCTATAAATCAGATGAACTCTACTTCGTGTCTTGGCCACGAAAGGGATTAAGAAGAAGACACATTAATTATGTTTAGTTTTTTACTTCTCAACTGTGGTCAAGTCGTTAAAGCTCATGGTTGCTAAACCGAAAAGTCTCGAGTTCGAACCCTCGGGCAGATGAGGCTCGTTAGCTGGGGACAGCCCCTCTTCTAGTAGAGACTAGACTCCAAAATCAAACAACTGCTGCCTTGTTGTTTGTTCTTGGTTGGACAAAGGCTATGGAAGCAAATCCAAAAAGAAAAGCAGGCTGAACTCGGAGTCAATGACCTCAATGGCGCATAACCAGTTGACACGTAATCCTTAATTGTGATGGAGGCGTGGTTGAGTCGACAAACAGCTCATGGTTGATAAATTCGAAAAAGCCTCGAGTTCAAGCCCTCTGGCAGATAAGGCTCGATCCCTTCCATCACTAAAAATCAAGAAGGAAGAAGAAGAAGAAAGAAGAACTAAACATAAGTAAAAAGTTATCTTGGCCCATTTTTTAAATCTTTTAAAACTTTGCTACAAACACTTACAAAGCAATGTTCTTCATTAGGGGCATTTTTTCCCACTTAAATCGAGATTTTATAGACACTAACAAAGAATGACCACTTGTACATTATAACATAATACAACTTTTTCCCATGATATATAAGAAAATAAAAATGTGTGAGTAGAATTAGTTCGTATTTGCGGATTTTTCTGCTTGTGCAGTTTTCCGATGCAAAGTTTTCTGGAAACCGTCACAAGGTCATGTAACATCAGTTCTACCACTTCCATAAAAACTCCTTCCTGGCTTAAAGTACCCCGATATCTCCTACAAGAAGTCGGCACTCAGGCCTAACGAAGCACAAACAACGTACCGTAGTTCCCTTAGGGCTGGGGTTCATTCAGTTTGTGCTATCGCACGTAAAAACCAACCAATCAAACAGCTTTAAGTTTTGATTGTAACCAATCGTGTGCGTCTAGATTAACCAGTGGTGAGGGGAGTTAAAAACATGTAACCTCGATAACTTAAGAGTTATCTTCCCTGAAATTATAAAAATCTTGAGAGCGTGATTTTACAGAAGACGTGGTAGGCTAATTAAACGGCAGTTAATGAACGTGTTCTTTTGTATCTCTTAAGTCTCGATATACAGCGTGTGTGGTCCAGCCTGCCCACTGTTTCTGCTTCCGGTTCTAGCCATAATTGTGGTCCAGTGTGATCCACCCACAGAAATACACACATAAAAACACATACACACGGACACACATGCTGAAACGGACATACGTACACACGCACATACACCAACAGATACACACATGCACACAGTAGTAATATATATATATATATATATATATATATATATATATATATATATATATATATATATATATATATATATATATGTATACATACACACGCTTATATATGTGTATATATATATATGCGTACGTACACACACTATAATTTAAAGCTTGGGTCTCCTCCCTTATAATACCACCAATCTCTGTTTTACTCACAATTATCTTTGTCACGCTTGGACGCACACACTTTATGTGGCAATTATCTCCTGGCACGTACCAAAGTTTATGCCAGAGGCCTGTACACATTGAGGGGAGGGAGGGAGAGAGTAGGTTTCTGGACATTGAGGGTGGGGTGGAGGGGTGGGACTGTGGAGTGGGGGTGAAGTTGGAGCCACGAGTCAAATCACTAAGTAAACATTGTTTTATTCCACACGTTTTAACACAAGTGTGTGGGGACCATCAGAGTAGCGTCCATTACCTACAGGGGTGTGTGGTTGTATGTTGTGTGTGTGGGGGGGGGGGGGGGTAAAACTACACCAGTATTTAAGTACCAGCGAACTAATTAGACCGTAGGCTTGAATTGAATTTAACTACCAATAATTATGTTGATGTGTCATTCATAAATCTGATCGCATTATTGGAAAGGATATATTCCTTTTGAATACCGAAAGCATAGAATGTTTCGTTGTTAAAATAATTTTCCAAAAAATACATTTTAAAATTTATATTATTTTACATACGAAAGCAAAAAAAAATTAAGTTTAGTATTTCACGACACCTGTTGTTGATCTTGTATAACTGTCAAAGCATTTTTCCAAACATTTTATGACAAAGTATCATTTTCATTGGAAGTGTTTTTATCATCGTTTCATTTTTGACAAGTTATATAAAAAATATAAGTCCTACGATTTTTTTAGATCTACCATAGTTTCCCTTTTCGGTATGTATCACACAGTACTAATGTACTTCCATACACCATACACGCTTTACAATCTGTTTTACAGGGTAATAAAACAATCACAAATAAACAGATATATTGTGTGCATAGGCCTATATATTGTTTACCGACAGAGTAATAAAACAATCACATATAAACATATCTATTGTGTACATAGGCCTATATATTGTGTACAGACCAGGGAAGCAGTATTCACACTCGTATTTTTCGTGTACATGACTGTATGTCATGTACACACATTTTTTTCTCTCACACAAATGTACAATTGATCGATTGTATGATACTAATGACATGTACACTAACAGCTTGATTCTAATACAAACATGTCAATTCTAAATTTTCTTTTAAATTAGGCTTCCTTAAGGTACTCCTTTCTAGTTGTTGTATCCATTTCTAGCTGGTAATCCTTATAAATTCATGTAATAACATCTAGATGATGTAATTAACTTTGACTTAAATTTAAATTAAATTGACTTAATTACTTACTCTATATTTTCCAGGACGAGAAAAATCAAGTTTTAACAACAAACGGTTGGCTAAACCAGGTAAGTTAGATCTAGTAACATTAGTTTTTATGTAGTACGTTTGTTGTAACTTTAGTTTTCTGTTTAGTAGGTTTGGTAGTAACTTCAGTTTTCTGTGTAGTAGGTTTGGTAGTAAATTTAGTTTTGTGTCGTAGGTTTGGTAGTAAATTTAGTTTTGTGTCGTAGGTTTGGTAGTAAATTTAGTTTTGTGTCGTAGGTTTGGTAGTAAATTTAGTTTTGTGTCGTAGGTTTGGTAGTAAATTTAGTTTTGTGTCGTAGGTTTGGTAGTAAATTTAGTTTTGTGTCGTAGGTTTGGTAGTAAATTTAGTTTTGTGTCGTAGGTTTGGTAGTAAATTTAGTTTTGTGTCGTAGGTTTGGTAGTAAATTTAGTTTTGTGTCGTAGGTTTGGTAGTAAATTTAGTTTTGTGTCGTAGGTTTGGTAGTAAATTTAGTTTTGTGTCGTAGGTTTGGTAGTAAATTTAGTTTTGTGTCGTAGGTTTGGTAGTAAATTTAGTTTTGTGTCGTAGGTTTGGTAGTAAATTTAGTTTTGTGTCGTAGGTTTGGTAGTAAATTTAGTTTTGTGTCGTAGGTTTGGTAGTAAATTTAGTTTTGTGTCGTAGGTTTGGTAGTAAATTTAGTTTTCTGTGTTGTAGGTTGGTCGTATATTTGGTTTTCTATGTAGAAGGTTTATTTGTAAATTTAGATTTATGCTTGTGGCTAAACGTATGATTTGAACCTGAAACCAAACGTATGATTTCAACTTGCAACCAAACGTATGATTTTGACCTGCATATCAACGTGTTATTTGGACTCGAAATTTTTTTTTCAAAACTTTCATCTTTCTAATGAGGATTTTTAATCCTCTACTGTAAAAAAAAAAACACATCACATTACAAAAAGTGTAATGATGTCAGAACACCCTGTGATGTGGCAAGCATAGAGCCACATCCCCGTCCCCAACTCCACCGAGATATGATCCATCATTTTATTAACTTCAACTTCATGTTTGTTAAAAGCAAATAAACAAACACATTAAGAGACGAAAAAAAACCTGATTGAAATGATATAAAATAACTCGAACCCGGATTTTCGTTAATTCCAGCCCCATCCCCACCCCCACCCCTAGTATCAACCAATAGAGAAATAAAGAAATGGGGTCCACGTCTTTCAACACTCCTACCCCTCCCCCACAAGGATTCGCCCCTTCATTTCGCCACCATTCTGTAGGACTGAACGAAATATTTTTTCGCCTTTATCGCTCTAGTGTCATATCTCATACCCAAGGATCTGTGGCCATTTTTTTTTCTTACAGAACCATTACACTGGAACAAAAATATTGAATCAATCTCGAAGCTCATCCGCGGAGAGTAAAAAAAAAAATTCCTAATTCAGTTTTTGTAAGCTACGCTTGATCTTGTTTATTTAGATAAAATTTTTTTTTTTACATCCGAGATATTTTGAAGATAGCTTTGTAGGGCAGTTATCCGCTGCTTAGATCCAGGAATTAGCTCGACGCCAAAGGGGTGGATACAAAATGGCGCATTCCAACCCGGAGTAGTCGTAGGCGAACATTGCATGGATGATAAGTATCATTGATAAGGAAATGCTGAATCAAGAATTAGAGAAAAAATCACACCGGAATTAGAGGGGGGATTGGGATGAGGAAAGGAACAGATGAGAGGGGGAGGTAGTAGTAAAGAGCAGAGAAGTGAAGAATAGGGAAGTGAAGAGGTGAAAAAAAGAAGAGTAGATGAGATGAGAGAGAAAAGGAGAGAAATGTTGGAGTGGAGAGTATAGGAGAGGGCAGAAGAGAAGACAGAGAGGGTGGAATAGACGATAAGAGAAAATAGAAAAGAAAAAAGAGAGAAATGAAACAGAAGAGGAAAGAATAGAAGAAAAGAGAATAGTTTAGGAAAAGGAGGATAAAGCAGAAGAGGAGAGGAGAGAAGAGAAAATAAGAGAAGAGAATAGAGGAGAGGAGAGAAAATAAGATAAGAGAATAGAGGAGAGAATTGAAAATAAGAGGAGAGAATAGAGAAGAGAAGAGAAGAGAAAAAAAGAGGAGAGAAGAGAAAATTAGAGGAGAGGACAAGAGAAGAGAGTAGAGAGAGGTTGCGGTTGAGAGCTAGTTTGAGAAAGCTAATGTGCAAATCTGGAGAGAGAGTGGAGGGATCAACATCTGGGCTCTAAACTGATTGGAGAAGAAATGATGACGTATTTAAAAATATCGATTAAGTAATTAGTCCTGGGTGTCTGGGTGTTTAATTGGTTTGTGTGGTCTACATATAGACTTTCCAGGACGCACATTCATCAATGGAGTGCGAATCTTCAATACTAAAATCATTTATTCCTCATCAGACAATGAGTAACGATTTTTTTTAAAGCGGATTTTTTTTTTCAAAAGGGAGATGAAGTATGGTCAATTCTGATTTGCAAAAAATTCGTGGAGTAATTTGTGAAGAAATTGGTAGAGAATTGGTTGAGAATTAGTGGAGGTTGTAGAGAATTTTTGGAGAGATTTGTGGAGGAATTTGTGGAGAATTTGTGGAGAAATTTGTGGAGAATTTATGGAGAAATTGTGGAAAATGTGTGGAGAATTCATGCAGAATCAGTGGAGAATTAGTGGAGAATTTGTTGAGAATTTGTGAAGGTTTTGTGGAAGAAGTTGTGGAGAATTTCGAAAACTAGCAGACATAAAAATAAATCACAACCACGATTCACCCTACACCATACACACCATCAATTAACTTCAAACAGAACACTACAAATAACCAGCAACTCGTCAGCGCCAATTTTTCAACAGCGGCTTTTCAATACTAACATTCAACTTCATCTTTCAACCCCAACATTTCAGAACTAAAATTCAACTCATCCTTTACGGCTAATTTTCTTATACTTTGAGCATCAACTTTACACTAACTTAACACTAACAAAAGCATCATCTTTTATCACTAACTTTTCAACATTTAAAACAACAACAATAGTAAAAAATACATTTTTCAACATATACTTCTCAACATCCATTTTTCATCATCAACCTTTTAACACCAACTTTTCAATATCAGCCTTTTAAAACCCTTTTTTCAACACCAACTTTTTAACACCAACTTTTCAACATCAACCTTTTATCACCCACTTTTCAACATCAACATTTCAACACCAACTTTTCAACATCAACATTTTAACACCCTTTTTTCAACACCAACTTTTTAACACCAACTTTTCAACATCAACCTTTTAACACCAACTTTTCAACACCAACTTTTCAACACCAAATTTTCAACATCAACCTTTTAACACCCACTTTTCAACATCAACTTTTTAACACCAACTTTTCAACACCAACTTTTCAACATCAACTTTTTAACACCAACTTTTCAACATCAACCTTTTAACCCCAACTTTTCAGTATCAACTTTTCAACACCTTCCTTCAACACCCAACGCCTCACATGCAACCCAGAGTTCTCTAGATGGACACACACATATGTGTCCGTTGACCCGGTCCGTCTTGCTCAAGTGGACATTGTCTCGGAGTCAGAGAACAACCCATCGATTACGTCCCCTTGAACATTTCATGTAATTGCCTGGACAGATCGAAGCATGTTAACCAGAGCGTGCACCCCATTCAAACTGTTACCTGAATATATTTCCAATACACCTGAGTGTGCACGGTTCACATCATTGAGGCCTCCATCATTTTACACCCAATTATATTTTATTTCGCCACTAGAGTTTTAATCGCATTCCACTTACCAGAAAATTTAATCATAACACGCTAGTGCTCACATAGCCGCACTCAGTAAAATAGTAACAGAGTCCCATTAGCTGTAGGTCTAGAGAAGTTGGTGATGGAGGCGACTCACTCTATGCCTACATTGCTAGATATCTATTACGACAGGTGATTATCCTACAGGTAGTTTCTACAGCATTCATGAAATTACTGAGGGGTATGCTCGTTAGTAAACTAATGATTCAATTTGCAATTTAACATATATATATATATATATATATATATATATATATATATATATATATATATATATATATATATATATATAGTCTAATAGGCAAGTGGATGATTGCCCATTGGAGATCCAAGACCAAAGCTTGGGCCCTAAGTAGAGAAGAGCCAGATGTTGCCCATGCATCAGGCCCCTCTCTCTACACACAGCTGATGGACCCAAAGGACAGGACGTTACCTGTACAGCTTGAAATCAACACACACACACACGTACATTAACACATAAACACACTCACACAAATATATATATATATATATATATACTAGCTGCATCCCGTGCTCCGCCACGGTAAATCTTTTTTAAATGTACCAACTTTGGAACAGAACAAAACAATAAAAACAACACAAAAAACACAACCACAAACGCAACACAACCACAACCACAATACAACCACAACACAACCACAACACAACCACAACACAACTTGCAACACAACCACAACCACAATACAACCACAACACAACCACAACACAACCACAACACAACCACAACACAACCACAACACAACACAACCACAACACAACCACAACACAACCACAACAAAACTACAACACATCCACAACACAGCCACAACACAACCAAAAAACAACCACAACACAACCACAACACAACCAAAAACAACCACAACACAACCACAACACAACCACAACACAACCACAACACAACCACAACACAACCACAACACAACCACAACACAACCACAACACAACCACAACACAACCACAACACAACTACAACACAACCACAACAAAAACACAACTACAACACAGCCACAACACAACCACAACACAACCACAACGCAACCAAAAATCAACCACAACACAACCACAACAAAACCAAAAAACAACCACAATACAACCACAACACAACCACAACACAACCAAAAAACAACCACAAAAACAAAAAATAGTGATTTTGAGAAATCATAGACTAATTAGAAAATAATATAAATAATCTTAACATTTTTCTCTTTTAATTATGAACCTTAACATAGACTAATCAATGCGGTAGTAATAAAAAAAAAGATTAACTTAAATTATTGTTGAGTTAAATATATTTTCGAATTACCTCCCTTGAAAAAATTACCACAAAAAAAAGTTGAATTAATTAGCTTTTTCGACCTACTTTTATGGAAATGTATCCATTTTTTCTAGGAATACAAACTAAACTGATATTTGACATTGATCTTTTTAATATGTTTTAGCAATGTGCAAATATTTAATATTTTCATAACGTTATGCAAAAAAATAAACACAGTGGCATTTATAAAATAGCTCTATGCCGTTATATAAACGAATCCTACTCTATTACTTCTAATAAGACACTGCGGTGCACTGAAAAGCACAGCATGGTGCGAATGATTACTTTTATCGTTCCAAAAGCTATAGCGATGACGGACGGAAGGAAGGAAGGAAGGACAGACACAGCCCGCTTATATTATAGATATATATATATATATATATGTATATATATATATATGTATATATATATATATATATATATATGTATTTATATATATATATATATATATATATATATATATATATATATATATATATATATATATATATATACATATATATATATATATATATATATATATATATATAATGAAGTAATGGTGTCTCCTCTGCCTAAAATTATTACATCTTTCACGTCCCTTACATCCCGTGGACCAACCGTACTAGACCACACCTGAACTGGACCTACTGCTTAAGGCTTATTGGGTTTGTGTGAGAAATCTTGAAGTAAATCGAAAGAGAATCCTCAAAAATAAAAAGTTTAATTGAAGGCTACATTAGCGCCTCGGTGAGACACGCCCCCCCCCCCCCCACCCCTCCAGGCTTAATGATATCCTTCTCCCTCTCGTCCAGTTGTCTCCCATGTGTAAGGGAGATAAAAAAAATTCATGTAAATGGGGGGATATAATTTGATGCCTGATGTGAAGATCTATTTAAACAGCCTTTCAATGTTTCAAGATGGGGGGGGGGAGGGGGCACTTGTGGTTCAGGCATCTAAATATAGGGCTTTAGAGAGAGAGAGAGACAGAGAGAGATCGAGAGGGACAGAGAGGGGGAGGTAGAGGTAGAGAGAGAAGTAGAGAGAGGAACAGCATTATGACAAAAATATATCTTTTACATATCTTGCTATACTGAATATTTCGTCGTTTCTTTTTAAAAGTCGGACTTTAAAATCAGTTAAATTACGTTAAATCGTGTTAAATATTAATTGTTCCGTAAAAAACTTTTGATTTGCACCCCCTCCTCAAGATTTTGATTTGCACCCCCCCCCCCTCAAACTTTCAATTTGCACCCCCTCAACCTTTCAATTTATTTTTCAAACCCAATTTGGCGCCCCCTAAGGTCGGCGCCCGGGGACATATGTCCCCCCCCCCCGCCCGCCCCCCCCCCCCCCTCGCTACGCTACTGCCGTCCATGATTAAATTCTACCGTCCATGATTAAATTCTACCGTCCATGATTAAATTCTACCGTCCATAATTAAATTCTACCGTCCATGATTAAATTCTACCGTCCATGATTAAATTCTACCGTCCATGATTAAATTCTACCGTCCATGATTAAATTCTACCGTCCATAATTAAATTCTACCGTCCATGATTAAATTCTACCGTCCATGATTAAATTCTACCGTCCATTATTAAAAAATGATCTTGTGCATGTTACAGATCTGGACTGACTACAACCTGAGATGGGACCCTGCCAAGTATGGCGGCATCAAGGTCTTACGACTTCCGGTCGATGAAGTCTGGAAACCTGACATTTTGTTACACAACAAGTGAGTAGGTTTAACATTTTGTCAAGTGAGTAGGTTTAACATTTTGTCAAGTGAGTAGGTTTAACATTTTGTTACACAACAAGTGAGTAGGTTTAGCATTTTGTTACACAACAAGTGAGTAGGTTTAACATTTTGTCAAGTGAGTAGGTTTAACATTTTGTCAAGTGAGTAGGTTTAACATTTTGTCAAGTGAGTAGGTTTAACATTTTGTTACACAACAAGTGAGTAGGTTTAGCATTTTGTCAAGTGAGTAGGTTTAACATTTTGTCAAGTGAGTAGGTTTAACATTTTGTCAAGTGAGTAGGTTTAACATTTTGTCAAGTGAGTAGGTTTAACATTTTGTCAAGTGAGTAGGTTTAACATTTTGTTACACAACAAGTGAGTAGGTTTAGCATTTTGTCAAGTGAGTAGGTTTAACATTTTGTCAAGTGAGTAGGTTTAACATTTTATCAAGTGAGTAGGTTTAACATTTGTCAAGTGAGTAGGTTTAACATTTTGTTACACAACAAGTGAGTAGGTTTAGCATTTTGTCAAGTGAGTAGGTTTAACATTTAGTCAAGTGAGTAGGTTTAACATTTTGTTACACAACAAGTGAGTAGGTTTAACATTTAGTCAAGTGAGTAGGTTTAACATTTTGTTACACAACAAGTGAGTAGGTTTAACATTTAGTCAAGTGAGTAGGTTTGACATTTTGTTACACAACAAGTGAGTAGGTTTAACATTTTATCAAGTGAGTAGGTTTAACATTTTGTTACACAACAAGTGAGTAGGTTTAACATTTTGTCAAGTGAGTAGGTTTAACATTTTATCAAGTGAGTAGGTTTAACATTTTGTCAAGTGAGTAGGTTTAACATTTTATCAAGTGAGTAGGTTTAACATTTTGTTACACAACAAGTGAGTAGGTTTAACATTTAGTCAAGTGAGTAGGTTTAACATTTTATCAAGTGAGTAGGTTTAACATTTTGTCAAGTGAGTAGGTTTAACATTTTATCAAGTGAGTAGGTTTAACATTTTGTTACACAACAAGTGAGTAGGTTTAACATTTGGTCAAGTGAGTAGGTTTAACATTTTGTCAAGTGAGTAGGTTTAACATTTTATCAAGTGAGTAGGTTTAACATTTTGTCAAGTGAGTAGGTTTAACATTTTGTTACACAACAAGTGAGTAGGTTTAACATTTAGTCAAGTGAGTAGGTTTAACATTTAGTCAAGTGAGTAGGTTTAACATTTAGTCAAGTGAGTAGGTTTAACATTTTGTTACACAACAAGTGAGTAGGTTTAACATTTAGTCAAGTGAGTAGGTTTAACATTTTGTTACACAACAAGTGAGTAGGTTTAAAATTTTGTTACACAACAAGTGAGTAGGTTTAACATTTAGTCAAGTGAGTAGGTTTAACATTTTGTTACACAACAAGTGAGTAGGTTTAAAATTTTGTTACACAACAAGTGAGTAGGTTTAACATTTAGTCAAGTGAGTAGGTTTAACATTTTGTTACACAACAAGTGAGTAGGTTTAAAATTTTGTTACACAACAAGTGAGTAGGTTTAACATTTAGTCAAGTGAGTAGGTTTAACATTTTGTTACACAACAAGTGAGTAGGTTTAAAATTTTGTTACACAACAAGTGAGTAGGTTTAACAGTTTGTCAAGTGAGTAGGTTTAACATTTTGTTACACAACAAGTGAGTAGGTTTAAAATTTTGTTACACAACAAGTGAGTAGGTTTAACAGTTTGTCAAGTGAGTAGGTTTAACATTTTGTTACACAACAATGGAGTAGATTCAACATTTCTAGCGAGTTAGTTCAACATTTTGTTAGACAAGTGATTGGGTTTGGCGATCTCAAAAATATTTTTTGTATTTGTTAATTAACAGTGTATACCCGACAGCATATTAGACCAACAATTGATTTTAATTTGGTATATTGATTTTAATTTGGTATGGAGTTACAGTACTTCTTTATTCAAAACAAATTTACTGACTTGCACGATTTCTGGTTTTATCATGTGATAAGCTTCAATCTTGATTGCTTAAGAAGAAAGATGTTGATGAAAACTCTGTTGTTTTCTCCCGCTAACATAATCTACCACTGAGTGAAGATATCACTCACCCACCCTCACTCCACCCCCACACATTATGCTTTATTCTGAACATAAAGTTCATTAACAAAAGGTGGTAATACTATTACTGACAGTTGCTTAGTATAGACAAAAGTAAGAAAATATCGTGGAGGTATTTCGTTTATTTTTAGAAAATGCCTATTCAAGTTAGATGTAAGTGAATGTTTTGGGAGGCAGTGTGTGTGTGTGGGGGGGGGGGGGGGTAGGGGGGGTGTTGAGGGGAAGGCAACTCCCCTAATCCAGCTGTACTCACGTCTTACAAAACCCTTGATCCTCTATACTAGTAGTTGATTGTGCCCCTATATAGAACTGTAGCCCCTGTTTCCCATCTATCACAACACACATGTGCTTCTATAGTCCCTGTGTCCCACCTTATATCACAAGCTTGGGCCTGTAGACCTGTACCTAACACTGTTGTACGTGACATCTACCCAAACACTGCTGATAAATCCAATTAGACGGACGCTGGTCATGGACTGGCCGCAGCTGTAGCCATCTCCATGGAAACTTTGTTGTCCAATTAGCCCGTGTTTTAGTGGGGCCCAAGACAAACATGTGGGCAGGTAATGACGTTAGGGACAAACATGTAGGCAGGTAATGACGTTAGGGACCCGGGACAAACATGTAGGCAGGTAATGACGTTAGGGACCCGGGACAAACATGTAGGCAGGTAATGACGCTAGTGACCCGGGACAAACATGTGGGCAGGTAAGGACGTTAGGGACAAACATGTAGGCAGGTAATGACGTTAGGGACAAACATGTAGGCAGGTAATGACGTTAGGGACCCGGGACAAACATGTAGGCAGGTAATGATGTTAGGGACAAACATGTGGGCAGGTAATGACATTAGGGACCCGGGACAATCATGTAGGCAGGTAATGACGTTAGGGACAAACATGTAGGCAGGTAATGACGTTAGGGACAAACATGTAGGCAGGTAATGACGTTAGGGACAAACATGTGGGCAGGTAATGACGTTAGGGACAAACATGTAGGCAGGTAATGAAGTTAGGGACCCGGGACAAACATATATATAAATAAATAAATAAATAAATATATATATATATATGTATATATATATATATGTATATATATATATATATATATATATATATATATATATATATATACATATATATATATATATATATATATATATATATATATATATATATATATATATATATATATATATATTTATTTATTTATTTATTTATTTATAAATACACACACTTATATATACAAATATGTATGTATACACATTCCTCTATATGCATGTATGTAAAGAGTTCTCATTTTGTTCCAGCGCTGACGCAGCGGCCTTTGTCTCGTCCATCTCATCAAATCTGATCGTGGCAGCCAACGGCAACGTCACGTGGTTTTCTATGGTCATCTTCAAAAGCTCGTGCTCCATCAACGTGCGCTACTTCCCCTTTGATGCCCAGAACTGTTCCATGCAGTTTGCTTCATGGTCCTACGATGGCTTTCTGGTAAAGTACACTCCCATCTCGTTATATATCTGTTTGTATATATATATATATATATATATATATATATATATATATATATATATATATATATATATATATATATATATATATATATATATACATATTATATATATTACATACACACGTATATGTATATATATATATATATATATATATATATATATATATATATATATATATATACGTATTAAATATATTAAATACACACGTATATATATATATATATATATATATATATATATATATATATATGTATATATATATATATATATATATATATATATATATATATATATATATATATATATATATATATACATATATACAAAGAATTATAAAAGCAACATTCCAACCAGCGCTCGCATAAGACACATTGACTTACTGTCAATAAACTAAGACACGGTGACTTACTGTATTAAGCATTAAAACCCACTACAGCAGTTGATTTGGCATACTTTTATTTATTACCGTTTAATATAACAGAAAAAAAACCTTTCCATACCACTGAATATTTTAAAATGATTGAAACCGATTCATGAATTTCATTTTCACACGTCAACTATGTTTAAAACCAAAATTGTTGATGAGCCAATTCTGATGTTAAAATCAATAAAGCTGGATCGATGTCACAAGTAAATAGGAAACGTTCCTGACTTGACAACATGGGGGCTATGTAGATATCATTATTGGAGAAAAGGATATCATAACTATCGGGTCGATGCATTATAGAGTCCCCACCCCCGCTCCAATCACATGCACACACACAAAATCGCAGGCACGCGCATACACACGCACGGAACACACAGTAACGTGTGCGCTCACACACACACATACATACACACACACGCAAGATGGCAAATCTTGTTTACACTTGTTTCATCGCATACACGTCCTTGCGGATTTAAACTTTTTTTTTCTCTACATGTTAAAAATATGATGGCCCGTGTCTAGCATGACGTCATGTTAATCTTGTGCTGACCCGTTTCTAGTATGACGTCATGTTAGTCTTGTGCTGACCCCTCTCTAGCATGACGTTAATCTTGTGCTGACCCCTCTCTAACATGACGTTAATCTTGTGCTGACCCCTCTCTAGCATGACGTTAATCTTGTCCTGACCCCTCTCTAGCATGACGTTAATCTTGTGCTGACCCCTCTCTAACATGACGTTAATCTTGTGCTGAACCCTCTCTAGCATGACGTTAATCTTGTGCTGACCCCTCTCTAGCATGACGTTAATCTTGTGCTGACCCCTCTCTAGCATGACGTTAATCTTGTGCTGACCCCTCTCTAGCATGACGTTAATCTTGTGCTGACCCCTCTCTAGCATGACGTCACGTTAATCTTGTGCTGACCCCTCTCTAGCATGACGTCGTGTTAATCTTGTGCTGACCCTTCTCTAGCATGACGTCTCACGATTCCAGACATTGCACTCTTAAAGCCTGCATCAAACCATTAGCTATTTGATCAACACAAGTACATCGCTACATCGCTCCCCACTCCCCATCGCGATATTTACTTATCCCTAACCACCACAGAATAACCCATCACTTGTGTGTACAAATATCAGCCCTCTGTTGGCTATGTAAGCCCGCGTTCTGGGCCTGATACATAACTTACAAATAGTCTATACAGTGGTTGGCTCGTTAGAGATGGTCTAACAAGTCCTGTAATAGTTTCAATGTGTCTTACAGTCTCTACATCAGGTCTTTTATGTCCTGTAGTAGTTTCAATGTGTCTTACAGTCTCTACATCAGGTCTTTTATGTCCTGTAGTAGTTTCAATGTGTCTTACAGTCTCTACATCAGGTCTTTTATGTCCTGTAGTAGTTTCAATGTGTCTTACAGTCTCTACATCAGGTCTTTTATGTCCTGTAGTAGTTTCAATGTGTCTTACAAACAGTCATTTCATCCAGTCTCTACATCAGGTCTTACATGTCTTGTAATAGTTTCAATGTGTCTTACAGTTATTTCATCCGTCTCTACATCAGGTCTTACATGACCTGTAAAAGTTTCAATGTGTCTTACAGTCATTTCATCCAGTCTTTACATCAGGTCTTACATGCCCTGTAATAGTTTCAATGTGTCTTACAGTCATTTCATCCAGTCTCTCAGGTCTTACATAACCTGTAATAGTTTCAATGTGTCTTACAGTTATTTCATCCGTCTCTACATCAGGTCTTACATGTCCTGTAATAGTTTCAATGTGTCTTACAGTCATTTCATCAAGTCTCTACATCAGGTCTTACATGTCCTGTAGTAGTTTCAATGTGTCTTACAGTCATTTCATCCAGTCTATCAGGTCTTACATGACCTGTAATAGTTTCAATGTGTCTTACAGTCATTTCATCCTGTTTCAAGTCTAATACGAGTTGGTCAATATTTATATTTCTAAGTTATGAAATCTATACAATACGGAAATAGATCGGGTTGCGGGTGGGGGGGGGGGGGGTCTAAATCAGTGGGTAATTGGTGTGTGGTATAACCATATACATTTGATCTTGTCATTATGTGTGTGTGAACTAACCACATACACATGTTTAGTCTAACCACATACATTAAATTTTTATCTGGTCAGTGTGTGAGCGTGGTCTAACCGCATACAATGGTATCTGTTCTGACTGTATGGTCTAACCACATACAATGGTATCTGTTCTGACTGTGTGGTCTAACCACATACAATGGTATCTGTTCTGACTGTATGGTCTAACCACATACAATGGTATCTGTTCTGACTGTATGGTCTAACCACATACAATGGTATCTGTTCTGACTGTGTGGTCTAACCACATACAATGGTATCTGTTCTGACTGTATGGTCTAACCACATACAATGGTATCTGTTCTGACTGTATGGTCTAACCACATACAATGGTATCTGTTCTGACTGTGTGGTCTAACCACATACAATGGTATCTGTTCTGACTGTGTGGTCTAACCACATACAATGGTATCTGTTCTGACTGTATGGTCTAACCACATACAATGGTATCTGTTCTGACTGTGTGGTCTAACCACATACAATGGTATCTGTTCTGACTGTATGGTCTAACCACATACAATTTTATCTGTTCTGACTGTGTGGTCTAACCACATACAATGGTATCTGTTCTGACTGTGTGGTCTAACCACATACAATGGTATCTGTTCTGACTGTGTGGTCTAACCACATACAATGGTATCTGTTCTGACTGTATGGTCTAACCACATACAATTTTATCTGTTCTGACTGTGTGGTCTAACCACATACAATGGTATCTGTTCTGACTGTATGGTCTAACCACATACAATTTTATCTGTTCTGACTGTATGGTCTAACCGCATACAATTGTATCTGTTCTGACTGTATGGTCTAACCACATACAATTTTATCTGTTCTGACTGTATGGTCTAACCACATACAATGGTATCTGTTCTGACTGTGTGGTCTAACCACATACAATGGTATCTGTTCTGACTGTGTGGTCTAACCACATACAATGGTATCTGTTCTGTCTGTATGGTCTAACCACATACAATGGTATCTGTTCTGACTGTGTGGTCTAACCACATACAATGGTATCTGTTCTGACTGTATGGTCTAACCACATACAATTTTATCTGTTCTGACTGTGTGGTCTAACCACATACAATGGTATCTGTTCTGACTGTGTGGTCTAACCACATACAATGGTATCTGTTCTGACTGTGTGGTCTAACCACATACAATGGTATCTGTTCTGACTGTATGGTCTAACCACATACAATTTTATCTGTTCTGACTGTGTGGTCTAACCACATACAATGGTATCTGTTCTGACTGTATGGTCTAACCACATACAATTTTATCTGTTCTGACTGTATGGTCTAACCGCATACAATTTTATCTGTTCTGACTGTATGGTCTAACCACATACAATTTTATCTGTTCTGACTGTATGGTCTAACCGCATACAATTTTATCTGTTCTGACTGTGTGGTCTAACCACATACAATGGTATCTGTTCTGACTGTATGGTCTAACCACATACAATTTTATCTGTTCTGACTGTATGGTCTAACCCAGGGGTCGGCAACCTGCGGCTCGCGAGCCGCATGCGGCTCTTTTGATATCAAGATGCGGCTCTCCAGCTCCTTGCACAAATACTAATAATCTTAATAAAATAATAAAATATTTGAAATAAAAAAATGTTAGTGGCTCTTTAAAACCAGGGAAATTTTGAAAATTGTAACTTTTGGCTCTTCCGCTTCAAAAGGTTGCCGACCCCTGGTCTCACCGCATACAATTTTATCTGTTCTGACTGTGTGGTCTAACCACATACAATGGTATCTGTTCTGACTGTATGGTCTAACCACATACAATTTTATCTGTTCTGACTGTATGGTCTAACCGCATACAATTTTATCTGTTCTGGCTGTATGGTCTAACCACATACAATTGTATCTGTTCTGACTGTATGGTCTAACCACATACATTTTATCTGTTCTGACTGTATGGTCTAACCACATACGATTGTAAGTGTTCTGACTGTATGGTCTAACCACATACAATTTTATCTGTTCTGACTGTATGGTCTAACCGCATACAATTTTATCTGTTCTGGCTGTATGGTCTAACCACATACAATTGTATCTGTTCTGACTGTATGGTCTAACCACATACAATTGTATCTGTTCTGACTGTATGGTCTAACCACATACATTTTATCTGTTCTGACTGTATGGTCTAACCACATACATTTTATCTGTTCTGACTGTATGGTCTAACCACATACAATTTTATCTCGTCAGTGTGTGAGCGTGGTCTAACCACATACAATTTTATCTGTTCTGACTGTATGGTCTAACCACATACAATTTTATCTGTTCTGACTGTATGGTCTAACCACATACAATTTTATCTGTTCTGACTGTATGGTCTAACCACATACAATTTTATCTGTTCTGACTGTATGGTCTAACCACATACAATTTTATCTGTTCTGACTGTATGGTCTAACCACA